TTTTCCGACTCCAACTCCTTGCACATTTCATTGTAATATTTTGCTTTGTCATCCCGTGCTGCCTTTTGGAATCTTCTATTCAGCTCTCTCAATACTCACATGATGTAAATGGTTCCAAAAAAGCAATTTTTTTTCAAATGAAGCATTATAATAGAAAGCAAAGTTATGTGCTTCACTGGGGACCCTCATCATACAATCCCTTGTGTTTGCATGTTATACTTTATATTTTATATAATTGTAAAATTGATATATGAAAGTTAACTGGCAAATTGAAAGAGAAATAAATAACCTTCCTACTCTTTGTTTTAAAAAGAAATTTAAAAGAGAATAGGGGAACTGCAAAGAATGATGGTGATAAACACTTGTTGTGAGAAATAAAAAGATACATGTAAAGTATATTACACATGTACACTAATGTTCATAACAGCATTATTCACCATTGCAAGAGGAACCGAACAGTCCAGATGTCCAACCAAAATAGAATGGACTGAGAAATTTTGGTACATTCACACAATGGAATACTATGCAGCATGCACGAAAAATGATTTTGTAAATCACTACCTAACTTGGGAGGGACTGGAGAGCGTTATGCTAAGTAAACTAACTCAGTCCCATAAGGACAAATACTGTATAAAACCATTATTGGAGAACATGTATGAGGATCTAAGGGGGGGAAGGAGGAGCAGAGAGGTGAGGATGGGTGGATGAATCACAATTTGATGGGTGGAGGGAGGGGTGGGTAAAGAAAATGGGAAGAATCTGGTGTGAAAACAATGTATACAGACTTTGTAAGCAAACTAGTATAAAACATAAATTTTATTTTAAAAAAATATATAAAGCTTTAGCATGACAGTAAAAAAAAAAGCCAGCTGTCATGAAAAAAAAAACACACCCAAACCTTAATTTTTTTAAAAAAAGCGTATTGTACAAAACAGATGTTCATTAAATATTAGTGGTCTTTCCCCCCCTTTGGGGAGAGGGTGTTCTATTTCAAAATTATAGAAATGGATTCCAAAACAAGTGAAGTGACCCACTCAAGGTTATATTAAGTGGGAGGAAACTAACTATCTCATTCACCCTGAAGCCAAATGTTGGATAAATCACATTGTTTAGAAATCACATATTGGAGAAAACACATGTTGGAGTCCTCCTACTTACTGTAACCTTGGGTGGGTCACTTCTCTCATTTGGGAATCCATTTCTATCATCTTGAAATAGAACATCCTCTCTCCCAAGAAAAAAAATGAGCAGTAATATTTAATGAGCATTTATTTTATGCAATATACTTTATGTGCATCTTTTTATTTATCACAACAGGTGTTTATCACACCTCTTTCATTGACATATCCCCCATTCTCTTTTAAATTTCTTTAAAAAACAAATGGTAGCAAGATTATTTCTTTCTCTTCCAATTTGCCAGCTTACTTTTATGTCTTTATTTTACAAAATATAACATCAGAACATTAAGGATTGCATGACAAGGGTACCCAGTGAAGCACATAACTTTGTATTCTATTATAATGCTATTTGGGGGGAAAATTGCTTCACTGGAACCATTTACATCATATGGATGCATCCTGTCTCCATGCTTTTTCAATCTATATGCAGAACAGAACATTTGGGAGGCTGGGCTCTATGAGAAGGACATCAAGATTGGAGGAAGACTCATCAACAACCTGTGTGATGCAGATGATACAACCCTGCTTGCTGAAACTGAGAAGGATCTCAAGCACTTGGTCCTGAAGGTCAAGGACTGTAGTCTTCAATATGGATTGAAGCTCAACATCAAAAAAAAACAAAGAATCTCATCACTGGGCCAACTGGCAGCACCATGATGGATGGAGAAGAGACTGAGGTTGTTAATAATTTTGGATTGTGCGGGCTGCGAGCGAGCGAGGCCGCGGGGGCCGCCGGCGGTTCGTCTCACCCGGGTCGCGCCGCGCGCCGGGG